GGGAGACAGGTAAGCTTGGCTTCGCGTGTCACGGCCCTGCACGGATGCCTTCCCTCACCAGGGCTGTAACTGTCAGAAGCTTTGGGGTCCGTTTCTGAGAGCTGTCCTTTCTCCTGTGGTTTTCCTCTCTCACCTGATACACAGCTCTGGCAGATCCCAGCTGGGCTGCGCCTCTCTTCCCGTCCTAGTCCCAGCAAAGGCACGTACCTTTTCCTCCAGTGCCAAACGGAGCCCGTGGAATCTTCTCCGCCTCCCCTGCTGCCTTCCCCCTCACTTAAAACACGTAATTCTTATCCCTTCTTGACGCTGAGCCTCTAGTGTTGACCACATCTGCCTCGTGTTACAACGGAGCCCTTCCTGATGGAGGCTGTGGTGGGGGAAATCTCTGACTGGGTACAGCTTCGCTGCTAGCAGCCTGATTCTGTCCCCAAAGTCTTCCTGTCGTGTCGGTGTGCTGTGCTTCAAAAAATAAGCAGAGAGGGTTTTACCCTCGCCCTTTCTTGATGGCATCGTACAGAAGGGTGACTCTGGGCTTCTGGAGTGGGTCCAACAGGCCTCTTCTCAGCAGTTGCTCCCTGCAGTGAAAGCACCGGTTTTCTTTTCGCCTTGCTGCGTTGGCCGCAGATCAGATTCCCGAGTTACTGTGAACAGTGAAAAGGTTAACAGCTAGTGGTTTTCTCCTGAGGGGGAGCCTTCAGGTGATGAGCTCGGCGAAACTGCTGTCTATTTTTGCCCGCTGCCTGCAGAACGGCCATTGGGCAAAGCTGTCCTCGTGCTCCCTCCCCTGCGAGCTGCCTTAGTCATGGGGGACTGGGAGGGGGCACTCCGTTTTTAGTCTGCCTTTGGAGAGCGTGCGTTGAGCTTTCTGCTACGTTTCCTCAAGCCAGACAGCGCGTTTATTTTTGGCTGTAGTGCATGGTGTGTCTTTTCCGCTTCCTTGTAATGAGCAAGAAGTTGTGCAGCACATCAAACGGGACGCTTTGGCTCACTCGATTCCCTCTTTCTTGGTGACACACGGGTTCTCCGGTGTAGCAGTCGGAAAGATTCCTTTCTCCAGCCCCCCAGGAGGGTGTTTTGAGTGAGGCGTCTCGGTATTTTCGCCCACATCAAGCCCTGCTAACTCTCAGCATCCGCCCTACCCCTTCCCTTCAACAAGGACCAGTTTTCTCCTTTCTGTAATTCTAACTTCATCCCTTTCTTTTCCTCCCCCTCCCAACACTTAACATCCCTGGCCATGCAGAGCTGTCACGGTGACGTGTAGGTCTAGGCTCCAGGTCTGCCAGCGGATCTCTTCCAATTTAGATGTCCCAGCCTATCTTTACATTACTCGGCTGAGAAGGTGCCCGGGGAAGTGACTTGATCTCTGACGGTGCCGAGGATGTTGATTTTGCTGCTTCAGGGGGGGTGGGCTGGGGCCCAGGGCTGTAACGCGGGTGGGGTGAGCACGATTCTCTTTTGTGAAGAGGTGGATTGCTTCTCAAAATGATAATGGGAACTGGCCCCAGAACGAGCGCCTGGATGAGCTCTGGGTCCCTGTTTCCCCAGCCATGGTTTCGCGCTTCCCCGTAACCTTCTCCCAAAGGCTCTTGCGCGACTGTCGGTGCCTCTCCTCCTCCCGCGGCTCCAATGCTTGCCGTGCTCACCCCGCTCTCCTCTCTCCCTTCGCAGCGGATGGATCGCGGCACTGTCCGAGCTGCACGGGAACCTGGCCGTGGCTGTTATCATGATGGTGGTGGCAGGATTCTTCACGCTGTGCGCGGTTCTCTCGCTCTTCCTCCTGAAGCAGGTGAGTCGCTCGGAGGCGAGGTCTCGGCCGAATCGCAGATCTGCAGGTCGGGCTGCTCCCAGGGTATCCTGGGGTTGCCACCTCCTTGGACGCTGTCCCAAATTTCATTGACAACAGACTTCCTGCACCTTCCTTTAGCTTGAGGTTGAGCAGAGGAGGCCATTGCTTCGTTCGGGTATCCAAGGCTTTACAATCGCTGCTACCGCAGTGTTGTGAGACTTCTCAAAGCCTGGCGGGACCCAAACCCGCTGGCTCCCGAACACAAGCTCCCCCTTCCTCCTTCTGATCGACCCCACGAGGGTTGTTTTTCCGCTATTAACGGCAGAAATGCAGCTTTGGGGAAGGCAAGGACAGGCCGAACTGGTCCTGTTTCTATACCTTCCTCCTCCTTTTCTCCTAAATCGTACCTTGAAGGAAATACCTGATGCTTGTAGCCGCAGGTCCCGCGAGCGTATGTAAATGCAGAGGTTAAGCGTCCATACCATCACAGTGCGGGGAGAGGAGGTTTTTGGTCCGATAGGCACCGTTTTGCTGAGAGCTCCGCGTTTCCCAACAAACGAGGCTCTCCTCGAGCAGCATCGCGTGCCGGATGACGTGGAGCCGATGGCTCCAGCCCATCCTCTCCGGGTGTCAAGAGAGCTGGTTAGCGACGGGGCTGAGGAGGAGCGGGGAGAAAAAAAGCGAGGCGTGAGCAGCAAACCCACAACTGCATGCTGATTTATTTTTCTCCGTCCGTTTCCCAGGTGCATTCCCTGTATCGGCGTACGGGAGCCAGTTTTCAAAGGGCCCAGGAAGAGTTTTCCCAAGGCATCCTCACCAACAGGGGCTTCCAGAACGCAGCCGCTGGGGCGGCCTCCTCAGCTGCGCAGAGTGCTTTCCGGGGAAACTAGCCCTTCCCGGGCTGCCTCCCCCTCGCTTCCTCTGCCATTGTCACCCCAACCTTCATTTTTTATTTTTTTTTTTTTTCTAAAGATGCACTTTTCGGGGGTACCATGTTAGCTCTGTGATGCCGACTCCAGATGAGAAGAGATCTGGTTTGTTTTGGGATTTTTTTTTTTGAGCTTCAGCTGGCCTACGTTTATGACAATTAGTTTTCCCTGTCTTGTTTTAGGGTGCGGGGAGACAGGGGAGACATTCTCTGAAGCAAATATATTTCTCTATCCAGGACATGCCGAGTGTTTGTCTCTCTTCCTCCCCTCGCCCTGTCTGTAGCAGGAAGGCTAGGGGAAGCAGGTTTTTCGATTTTACTCTCTCTTCTATTGGCCTTTGCTATGAAGATTTTGATTATCTGCTGTTTTGGGGAGGGTTTTGTAACTTGCATGTAGTTTATGTCGTTAATTTTAAGAGTGAAAACTGTACTTTTGGTTTATTACACTTACACGATGCTGCATTTTGACTTCTTAACCGCCTGGCTTCCTACGAGTCGGGGTAACGTGGCATGAAGGAAAACCTGGGAGCAGAGGGTGGGTTAGAGAGGAGGGAAAACTTTCTCCTTGTCGTGTGTGTCCCCCCCCAGCCCTGTGGCAGACTGCCCCTCTCCTTCCACAAGGATCCTGGGGGGTTCCTCTGCCCTCTCGCCAGCACCCACCGCCCTGGGCACGCAGGGAGGGAGAAGGGCTCAGTGGAGGCAGAGTCTTCACTGTGGCCTTAGAGCAGGGGAGGGAGGAAAAGGGGAAATTTTTATTTTTGTTGTTGTTGTTGTTGTTCCCCCCCCAGCCCTGTGGCAGACTGCCCCTCTCCTTCCACAAGGATCCTGGGGGGTTCCTCTGCCCTCTCGCCAGCACCCACCGCCCTGGGCACGCAGGGAGGGAGAAGGGCTCAGTGGAGGCAGAGTCTTCACTGTGGCCTTAGAGCAGGGGAGGGAGGAAAAGGGGAAATTTTTATTTTTGTTGTTGTTGTTGTTGTGGGACTCGCCAGCCCCACTGTTGCAGAGCAGCGGCGCCGAAGACGCTGGCTCACCCACCGCCCCGTGCCTGCGACGTCCTTCTCCAGCTAACCCTGAGAGCCTGCCAGCCTGCAGCATGAATGAATTCGTCTCCAGGGACAAATCCCTCCCTGCCTTCCTCCTCCCACCTGTTTTTGGGGTGGTTTGGGGTTTTTTTTCCCCCCCCGTTCATCCAGGAAAGAACCAGTTTGATGTGTGTTTACCTTTGAAAGCTGCCTCCGGAGATGGGATGTCCTGTAGGTGCCGGTTGTGACCAGGCGTGATGAGGACGGTTTCCCCTGCCTGCATATGGATGCTGGAGGGGATTTTGACTTGTGAGGACCTAATTTCTGCCTTGCCCCTGGCTGTCC